GTTAAGATACCACACCTAAACCCACCATCAAAACAAAGGGTCCATGCCGCACGGGGAATATCATTTAAATACTGATATCCCTCCTCACTCATGTTTCGTATTTCAGCCATATATCCTTCAAATTGTTGGATATTATGTGTACTACCAGCGGCCCAAACCAAATTTTTAAGATCACTGTTCCGGAACTTTGTCATGAAGTTGCTCCGAACGTGGCGAAGACAAAAACGTTTCATTATCAATCCGGTCTGTAGTTCTGGAAGGTCACGATAGGAGTTGATGATCCCAATATGTCTGTCAGAAATAATACAAACTTGTTGTGAGCCGATAACCCTCTGAACAAGAAGGCGAAAAAACCAAGCCCAACTCTCACACGTTTCTCCGTCAACAACCGCATAAGCCAGAGGAAAGATTTCACGATTACCATTCATGGCAACCGCAAGAAGGAGATGGCCCTTGTACTCTCCGTACAAATGAGTTCCGTCCACCGTCACTACAGGCATGCAGTATTGTAATCCATGTATTGCCGCGGCAAACGCCCAAAATGCATACTTAAAGCGCGGGGTCTCTTCAGGCGTAGCATTAAGGTTTGGTGGTTCGGATGCATAGACAACATCGACTACAGTTCCTGGATAAGAATTTTGCAAATTGTACAACATAATAGGAAGTTGAGAATACGAATTCTCCCAACTACCGTACAACAACTCTGTAGCACGGATCCGAGCTAACCAACATTTTTTATACGACACAGGAACATGAAATTCTTGTAAAACATCATGTTGGATTAACTTCACTTTGTACTCAGGATCTACACGTACTTTTCCGACAATGAACCGGACAATGGAGAAATAATCGATGTTTAAATCATCTCCACCGTGAGAATAATCCGGATGACAAGTGTGCACGTCTCGCAATTGTTTAATTTTCCACACTCCAGATTTTAATCCTTGTGCTTGAACAAGCCAAAAACAGGGTGGGCTTTTGTTGTAATACCAACACCGACATGCCCATGATCCCGCTTTTTTGTATTCGTTTCGAAAAAAACGATTGTTCGCCACACATTGTTTTGTTACCGCATCCTTAAGTGATTCAAAATTGGGAAAGGTCATACCTATTGCAAGAGGGCCATCAGACACGCCACGAGAAATTCCTCTTACACCAGCTTCAGCTTCCATTTCATGGATCCAATGTTCTTCTGTGTCAATGTCATCGTCCGAAGGAATGTACTCTTCATCATCATCAGAGTCAGGGTTGTCAATAACTTCATCTGCAATCGTCTCCCCATGCGAACGAACACGATCGTCACGTCTCGATGGACCGACCTCATCTCCACCCGCACGAGCACTGTCGATGTATACTTCTAGTAAACCCAAGGGAATGGCCTTTTGGAAAAATATTTCCCATAACCTATCACTGTCGATGCCCATCAATTTCATCGAACTGATACCGGGGACGGAGTAAGGAATTTTTCCTGATATTTTGGATATAATCCCGTAACCATCTGCAGTATAATGTGATTGCATTTCTTGGCGAATATTTTCCCAAGACATACTCGAATTAACAATCAAAGTTTTTTGATATTCCCTTGTGTAGGAAATATCTCCATTACTTTGAATTATTTCTCCTCCCCAATATATGTTTAGAATTTGGTTTTCTAAATAAGACATTTTATTGCTCAGTGTAGTATGTATTAAAAGTGACATGTATGGAGATTTATACATGAAATTTTATATATTTTGGCTTTTAAAAAACCGAAATATTCCCTCTTTTTTTAAATTTCAAAATTCAAATGATTTAGCTTTGTAAAAGCCAAAATATTGACTAATTTTTAAATTTTCGATTTTTTTTTGGGCTTTGTAAAAGCCGAAATTTTACCTCCTTTTTTTAACATTTCAAAATTCAAATTTTTTGGCTTTGTAAAAGCCAAAATCTTTCACACTTTTTAAAATTTCAAAATTCAAAGTATTTGGCTTTGGAAAAGTCGAAATGTTGACAGCTTTTTTAAAATTTCGAAAAAAAATTTTTTGTACTGTTAAAGCCAAATTTTTTTACTGTACAAGCATTTTTTACAGTAAAAGCAAAATTCAACATTTTTTTAACTGTATAAGCAAAATTCAACATTTGTCATCCAAAAATTTTTAAGTAATATAAGTAGACTTAAAAATTTAGAGGAACAAAATTATTTTAAGTGAAAGATAGTAGAATCCATTACATGTCTGAAAAATAGAAATTACAAATTACATAAATCCATGATCGAACCAATAATCCATCACCGGCCTGTTATCATAGTCATGCGGCATGGACGAGGATGCGAAGTTATCACCACCAAAATTGCGTGTGTCAAATTGTGTCGCACCAAAAAGATCTTCTTGGGTACTTTGTCCGGGTTGAGTAATGTCAGTTTGTGGGAAATCTGGACCAGTCTCGACCTCGTCAGCATCAAGCTCATCCTCGTCTCCATGCATTTCTTCGTCTTCAAGAAGCTCATTTTCGTTGTGGTCAAAGTTTTCTAAAGCACCCCTAAGGTTTTCTCGAACCTCTGCTGCAACCGCTCCGGGAACTTTACCGAGTCGACACTCTGCTTTCTTTATTGTATTCACCTGCGAAAAAAATTAGTTAGTGAAGGATTTATTTTATTATAAGTAAATATTTATAATTTCTAAATTACCAAGAATGCAAGTTTGGCAGAAGTATTTTCAGATCCTTCTAGAGGTCGATGATATGGGTTTCCAATAATACGCCGACCGTACGTTGCAAACCAGTTAGCATACTCCACGGTAATTTGGAATGGTTTCTCTCCTACAATGGGCTCCATTTCATGGAAAACGGTAAGGGCGAAGCAATTATCCCTCCATTCCGCCACACATGCTTGTACCGTCTGGGTCGATTTACATCCCTTTGGTTTATGATAGGCCTCCATGTACGGATGGGTAAGCTCAGGAATGGTTTGCAACATCCCAAACTGTCGTGTGAATCGCATAGGCATGACAGGCTCAATAATCGAACGATAAATAACATAGCCTTGGAAAGTCCATAGTTGAGGACTACGACGACAATAAGCAGGCAAGTTATCAATATCGTACGGTTGCCAAACAACCTGTATATTGTCAGAACTATTATTAGTCAATCTTTGATCTATTTTTTACAAATTATTTTCTAAATTATTTTATGAATATTAATCGTACGTTTCGGAACTGCAAGCAGTCAAGCTCATTCCTAAAGTAGCGTACATTTTGTCTAGCAGAGGCACTGTACATCTTGGTCTGTCTCCACCTGAATAATAATAAATGTATAGCAACTTGAATAAAATTATAGAAAAAAATTATAACCTTGATAATCTAAATTAATGTAATTAAATACCGTGCACCAAATGGGTCGTCTTCGCGGGGAGGCCCGTGTGGATTATTCGGAACATTATTCAGTATTGGTCTTATGGTCAAAATCCGAGTCCACACCCATAATTGCAATAGAAGAAGACAACCCCCGGGACGCGTTCGCGGTTTAGTCTTCAACGCAGCCTTACAGAGCAAAAAATTTAATCGCGCTAAAACTGCAGAGCCCCAACTAAAAGTAGATGTTTCATTAAAATCTCGTAAGTATCTTACGAAATCAATTGGTGCGTACATACCCGAAGAATCTGGAAATAATAAACCACCCATATAAGCATATATGAGTCTAGCGGTATATTTAGCCACCATCTGATCAGGCCATTCATTATTTGGTTGAATGGTTTGTCCCTCAAAAAGAAGGGCAATCTTGAATTGGTCAAAACGACCAAAATGGGTGTCTTCGGTGTTCCACATCAAAACATCTCTAAATAAGACATTCTGTTCCTCAATATTTAAATCAAAGCCCATTACGGGGAGTCCATCAATCGGAAGTCCTAGTAAGCATTCCACGTCCTGTAAGGTGATACCCATCTCACCAAAAGGAAACTGAAATGCGTGTAACTCCGGTCTCCAACGCTCAACAAGAGAAGTGATTAGACCATGGTCTAATCGGATCGGTTGCACACGGTGCACTCCATAAAACCCTGATCGGTGCAACATCTCATAAACTCTATCATAAAAAAAAATCGTAGGAAGACTACCTTCGTAGCGAACCGGAGAGACTTTGTTGTCTATAAAATTCGGGTTATGCCACACCTGACGCGAACGATGTGTAGCTTGTAAAGTAAGAATGTCCCCCGATCTAGGACCCGCTATTTCTCGCTCAGGATCATACATTATGCTTCAAAAAAAATTGTAGTGAGCTTCTATTTACTCAAAGTACAATAAAATAGTTAAAAAAATCTTGTTTAAAAAAATATGCATTACATATTGTAAAATTAAAAAAATGCATTTCAAATTGTAAAATTTAAAAAAAATATGCATTACAAATTGTAAAAAAAAATATGTATTACATATTTAAAAAACTTATAAATAATTATTCTAAGAAAACATACCTCAATTTCTTGGATGATTATGGAAGAATAGATAAATTTTAAATATTTAGTGAGAAAAAAAGAAAAAGAATGTGAGAGTAGTTGAAGAGATTATGTATTTTGTGTAAAAAGAAGGAAGAGATTTGATTATTTGTAGTGGAATTGGGAGGGGTAGTAGTTGAAGGGATTAAGTGTGTGAATAGGGAGAGGTGGAGTGTGAAAGGGAGAAAGGGGAGGGTGGGGGACTGCGCATGCACCACTACGCAAGGGGGACTGTGCATGCATTAAAATGGCTTTTCAAAAGCCGAAAAAAATAAATTCAAAAAGAAAAAAAGAAAATGGCTTTATGAAAGCCGAAATCCATTAAAAAAATAAAAAAAAATCGGATTGCCAAAAGCCGATTTTCCTTCTCAGGAATTTACCTTTCCCACCCAGGAATTATATTCAAAATTTTTTCCCTCTTAGGGAAACCACCCTTATTTAATTCAGTGGCTTCTAGCTAGCTAGGGTTTTTTATTTTGTGAGTGTGCCTAGCCTTTTATAGGTTGGTGTATCCCTGTGGTGTACAAAATGGGGTACAAATACATGGGGTACAAATAGCATTATCCAATTCTTAATCGCAAAGTATTTTATTTGTGCTGTTATAAGTGTTGAAAAGTTATACTCCCTAAAGTAGTTCTCTTATTGACTTTTTGGGAAATTAAGAATGAGATATTTATGCGTTGACTTTTCCATTTTACCCCTAACCCTAAAATAAAGTGGAGAAGCCCAAATCATCGAATAGTGTAAAGTAGTAGGATTAAAAAATAAATTGAATTACACCTCCATCGATTTGGCAGTTGAGAACCATAAACAAAACAGCCCATACCCTCTCACGACAGTGCGGCAAAGAAATAATTAAATAAACTATGCCTAAATGACATTTCAATTTTTTGTTTTTTTGGGGAAGTTCAAACTTCCCTCCACCTACAGCCCTCCAAAACTAAAATGAGAATTACATCATTTTACACACTTCTATTTAAAGAATGCATTGAATACATGCATTTTATCCTTCTTCTCTTCTTAATCTTCTTCATGGCCCCTCATGCGGACTCTTCTTTGGATTCTTCCAGTTCCTTTTCCTTTTCACCAGATGAGTCATCCTCTTTTGACAATCTCCCTCATGTGATTGAAGTCCCTTTTGCTAACCTTTTCACTCCTGCAACAGAAACAAAAAACAGCAGCAAAGGTGGTGTATACTAAATCAAAAAAGAAAAAGGGAGGTAGATGTGTTATTACAACAGTCAAAGAATGGCAAACTTCAGCGAGATGTCATTAAGAAAGTAGCTGAGGAATTCAGTTTTTCTGCTAAAACAGTTAGCGAAATTTGAGAAATAGCTACAACTCAACTTGAGGGTGGTCTACCCATTGATGTTGAATGCAAGTGGAAAGGAAAGTGTGGCAAAAAAAGGGTCCCAGTTGACATGGAAAAAATGGCAGCCGTGCCTTTTAATAGGAGAAAGAACATGCGTGCACTTACCCATGCTATGGATGTGTCAAAATCCACTATCCATATATGGCTTAAGTGTAAAGAGATCGGGATGCATTCAAGTGCCATCAAGCCACTACTATCAAAAAAAGGTGTGCTTAAAGGACTGAAGTTCTGTTTGGATCATTTATCTGCCCCTCAATCTCCATGAGCCCAACATTTCATGACTCTTATGATCACATTCATATTGATGAGAAATGGTTTGACATAGTAAAAGAAACCTCAACATTCTAAAATAAAAAATTATGTTTTTAACTGTTGTTGGTAGGCCTAATTATGGGGAGGATGGGGAACTTGTATGGGATGGGAAAATAAGCATTTTCCCATCCACTTATGAAGCTCTTGCTCAAAAGTATAGTAAGAACAGGCTTGCACGGACTATGGAAGTAAAGCCCATCCCAATCATAAATAGAGATGTGATGAAGGGGATGTTGCTTACTAAGTTACTTCCAGCAATTAAAGAGAAATGGCCAGGATCGATCAAGGAATATAATAGCACAGCAAGATAACTCTAAGCCTCATGTGGATGGCGATGACCCTGAAATTATAGAAGCTGCTCAAGAAGGTAACTGGAACATTCAACTAAAATTCTAGTCACCCAACAGCCCAGACCTAAAAATACTTGATCTAGGATTCTTTAGGTCCATTGACTCACTGCAAGACCAAACAGCTGCTAGGTCATTGACAGAGTTGCTTCATGCTGTTACATACAACTTTTGAAGAACTATCACCTGACAAACTCAATAAAGTGTTTTTTACTTTTCAAGGGGTGATGGGTGAGGTTCTAATTAACAATGGAGGGAACCAATTCAAAATCTCCCACATGGAAAAAACTAGGTTGGCCAGAGAAGGGAGACTGCCATAAAAGTTGGGGGTCAGCACCCAAGTGTATGAAATTTCTCAACTGTTCTTAGAGGAACAAATGATAGTACCTTCTTCACGTTGGGTACTTTTTTGTTATGTGTGCAAACATGGACAAGGAAATGTACAATGTCTCCCTGTATCTTCAGTGACAACTTTTTGCACAATTATTGGATGGGAACAAGTATGGTAGAACTTTTGAATGGCAAAGAACAAGTATTGAGGATGCAAGTTTTATGCAATGGGAATTTTTTGCTTTTTGTGATAGTAAAGTTTATATTGTAATGAAAGTATACCTTATATTGTAATGCAAGTATACCTTATCTTTGGTCATCTATCTAAGTGTAGCCTTGGTTGTATCAGTTGCAAGCAAAACATGTTTTTTATCCTAGAATCAAGTGCAGTAAATGTTTTATGAAGAAAACATGGGCAAGCATAGCATCTGTTTAACCAATTCAACAGAATCAGGTGTAGTAAATGTTTTATGAAGGAAACATAGGCAAGCATAGAATCTATTTTACCAATTCAACAAAATCGAGTGTAGTAAATGTTTTATCACTACACCAAAAACAGTGTCAGACGACTATTGATTAACTACTGTTTATGGAAAAACAGTAGTTTAAAAAAATCAGACTGCTGTTTGTTGTTGTTGGCTACAAAAGCAGTAGTCTAGCTATTATGCTTAAAACTATTCTTAAAGTTTCGAGAAACGGTATTCTATTATTAGTTGTCTGTGTCATATTAAAATACAGTCTTTTTATCACAGTTGTCAATAATAAGTTAAGAATACTCTTTTTAAACAGTAGTCTAGTTATTTAGTCTAGAACTGTTTTTAAAGTTATGAGAAACAATAATCTATTGCTAGTTGTCTATGTCATATAGTATTTTTGGCACGGTTGTTTATAATAAGGATACAATACTCTTTTTTAACAATTGTCTAGATACTTAGCCAACATCTGTTTTTAAAGTTCATAGAAACGGTAATCTATTAGTAGTTGTCTGTGTCATATCAAAATACGGTTTTTGTTGCCACAGTTGTCTTTAAAAAATTAAGAATACTAATTTTAACCAATAGTCAGGCTATAAGCCTAGAACTATTTTTAAAGTTATGAGAAACGGTAATGTATTACTAGTAGTGTGTGTCACACAGGTTTTTTTTCACAGTTGTATAGAATAAGTTAAGAAAACTCTTTTAAAGAGTAGTGTGGATAGTAAGCGTAGAACTGTTTTTAAAATTATGTGAAGTGGTAATCTATTACTAATTGTCCATGTCATATGATTGTTTTGCTAGAGGTGTTTATAATACGTTAAAAATACTCTTTTTAAACAGTAGTTTAGCTATTAAGTCTCAAACTTTTTAAAGTTCAAAGAAACGACACTACAAGAAAAAAAGGATATAAGGACACTAAAAAAGTGTCATCTATCATATACAAGGACTCTTTAAACATGTATCTTCTATCAAGGTGTCATAATAAGTCTTGAACAATGACACTTAAATTGTGTCTTCTTTTCCATACTAAGACTCACACAAAATATTCCTATTGTGTCCTTGAATAAAAAAGAAGACACTTAAAATGTGTCTACATATAATCTATTATGTGTCACTTTTTTTATTAGGACTCTTTATGCTCTCTTTTTCCTATAAGAAAAATATAATTCTTCACATCATTATTAAAACTGTCAAATAAGGAGTATAACACAAGTATTCATATTTTACAATGTAGACTACAATGTAAATTTAATTCAAAGTTGTTACACTTTTACAATATAGACTTCATATATTTAACTTGAATATAGTAGCAATATGATCAAAATCTGCTACATGCATGATTCAACCACCTCCGTCAAGTCTACTTGAACTTCACCAATCTCTACATGACCGTATGCGTCTTTTATCTTGTCCTGACAAGATTTTTGTGCACTTTGAAGTTTCTTTAGTGCAGAAATGGCTAAAGAATGAATTCAAGAGTACAAAGTATAAACTTCCTTCCTCTTTCCATCAAAATAATATGATTTTGCCTAATAGAAGGACCTGCAACAACATTTGAGAATCCTATAATCAATTTCAGCCTTCAAAGTTCAGGAAAAAATAAGTTAATGAATTTTAGAGATTTTGAAACAAGTTAGATTAAGATACATAGTACTATCAAGAGAGACATGATTGCTGAAACTTGTTAGTCAAGGCGTGCAACTCTAGAGGGGGGGTGAATAGAGTTGTTGAGAATGTTTACCGATTTTCGCAGGATTAAAAATATAAACGTAAGTGCAGCGGAAATAAAAGAGAGAAGGCAAAGAACACACCGATGTATACTGGTTCACCACCTCGTGGCTAGTCCAGTTCCTCGAGAAACTCTCTCGAAGCTACCACTACTTCCGTTAAGCTTACGGGTGCTTAACAAACCGTTTACAAACCAAGAACTTGAATCCCACAAGCCTCGACACAATCGCTCGTAGATATGCCCTCTACAAGACTTCACACTCAAGACTTAAGTCACATAAGTCTTAAACAATAAGAAGAACAATCTTCTTCAACCTCTCAACAATGGCTCTCAAAAGAGTAGATATGAGAAATGATTAAAGCTCTAATGGATGACAAGAACACTCTCTTGAAAATACTTAGTTTTCTCTCAAAATATATCAATTTGAGGAAGAATTGAATGGAGGATTAACACCTCAGGAAAGGGGAGTATTGGAGTGTTTCTTGTTAAGAAAAATGACCAAGGAAGGATGCTTAAATAGGAGGTGAAGAAATATATCCGTTGGTCCAAGAAAAGAAGCTGTGCAGAAAAGATGCAGCATAATAATCGATTAATGCAGTGTGAGTAATCGATTAATGCATCATCCTCAGCGATTAATGCAGTCTGCGCAAAATGATAATCGATTAAGGCCAGAGCAATTAATCGATTAGAGTGCTCTGAGTAAGTTAATCGATTAACAGGAGAAAAATAATCGATTAGATCAAAGTAGCTCAACACAAAGTAAAACTCAATTACTCGATTAATCAAAAGAGTTTAATCGATTAATCAAAACAAAAACTGGGTAAATCGATTAAGGCAAGAATATTAATCGATTAGTTTTGAAATGATGCGCAAACACAAGGGGCCCAAGCCAGTTGCGATTGAGAACCGAATTGGCGTAACACTCGTTGTTTGAGACAACGGGAATCAGAGAACCTCCTCCGAGTCCTCCGTTAGGCGCTCCGAACGCGTCTCGGACTCCAATAAAATTCTGTGCACCTTCTTGAATACTTCAAGGAATGGCACTTCAAGTCTTCGTGTTTGTCATTGTAGCACTTTGATCTTGACTTGAATAAATTGTGTTTGTCAATTATCAAAACCTGTGAGTCAACACTTAACAACACAGAAAGGGTTGAACTCATGCATTCCAACAAAACTTCCAAGATCTTCACACTCTAAGATCGATACAAGTTCACCATTTATACACCTAAACGAATGGTAGGCACGAAAGTAGGACTTGAACAAATAGTCAATGTATGAAACTTGAACTATAAAACATTTTGGGAAACAATATAAAACGGAGAGAGGAAGTGCAATATAAAAACCCTTATATGTAAAGATATCATATAACAGGTTAAGCGTAAGGTAAAACACAAAACAATTAGACAGCCACATCTTACAAATGCTTAGCTTATGTAGCTTGTTTGGGCATTTTCCCACTTTTCATCATACACACATTGTTTAGAAAGGATGCCTAAAGAAAAATCCAAGCAGAAACTACTCATATGAGTTCATAACACAAATTAGACTAAGCAATGAGGCTCTTCTAAAAGAAGAGTGAATTGCAACTCACCAAAAGGTGAAAGCGCAAATATCATCAATCTCAACCCATTAACATTCAAGCTCAACACCTTTATCAAGACTGCAGAATCAAGTAGAAAAATTTGCAAATCAGCATTGTAGAAATTTTAAGCTATAATAATTAACATTATCCATTACTACATAACCTAGCAGGGCATATCAACCACTAATGAATCCAATTAAGTGTGTGAAGTAAAATAAAATTAGTGAAGTAAAAAAATCTACAACCAGGGCATACATTTCTACAACAACTGATAAACCCAAATAATCACATAGAAAGAGTTTACTTTAAAAGAAAAACTCAGTGAAGTTAAAATAAAAAGAATAAAATAGACCCTCAGAAAGATTTGAACTTTGTTAAATGTTTTTAACAACTTCTAATATTTGTGATACATAATTCAAGTCAAAGTAAATTCAATTGAGTAAATTGCACCAAACCTAGAACATATAGCTCACCAACAAATGCCTGTATCCAAAGAGTTGAGATAACCTTTTTCCAAAGTTGGACGTTCACTGGGGAGCATATGCCAGTATTCATACAAAGGCCATTCCAGTAAAATCATAATCACCTTCATCAATAATTAGCCCTGTAAAAAAATTCATCACAATAACAATAATACTCTCCCATTTATGAACATCTTTAAAGGCAAAAAATGATTATAAAACCTTTTTATAAAATAGAATCCTGAAGTATAGATTAAGTTGAGTATTGATAAAAATCAATTTGGTTAAACAAGGTCACTTAGAAATAGATTCGAGATATACATTCACGAATGAAGAACTCAGATTTAAAAACTACTTAAGGTTTAACCCAATCAAAAACAAAATCTTTCTAGTAGATTTGATGCTTACATGAACATAAAAAATTAATTCAAAGGAAATACCAGACTCCAGATAGTCATGTTCCAAATTTGAACTATAAATTAGTTCAAAGTTATATTCTAAATTTGAAAATACCAGATAGAAAAAATTAGTTCAAATTCAACAAACAAACAAGCTAAAAATAAGAGATTTAACCTAAATTGAGATGTTTATCCTTAAATCCATGGTTCTCTACTCCATTTTGCGGGTCCTCTCTACTTGAAATCGTTGTCAATCCGACTCTATATGTGCTTCTCGCAGTTTCAGTTCTCATCTTCAACGTCTGCTTCGTGCTTAACCAAGAGGAAGAGCTTCGCTCATCTCTGCGTCATTCCTCTCTCCAATATCAGATTTGTAATCGACAGAGAGAGAGCCATCTGAGATTGATGGACGATGTTCTCTATCGGACAAGAGCTGGTGGTGATAGATTTTGAAGATGATGACGGAAACTATGGGAGAATGAGATATTCTGAATGGGAGACCTAATTGCGAAATTGGGGCACATATTGGGCGGGCACTGAAAAATAGAGAGGGATTCTAAAATTTGAGATGAAATTGAAAATTTTTAGAACAGCAATCATATTTTTGAGGAAAAATGCTAGGGGTACACCAAAGGTGTACCCTATTTGTCTCCCACCCCCTCCATTACCACAAAAATGGGTAAGAGACTAAAAAAATTAAATAAATAAAAATAAAATAAAAATGAGTGGTGGAAAAAGGGGTGGGGGACAAATGGGGTACACCTTTGGTGTACCCCTAGCAATGCGCATTTTTGAAACAAAAAAGTTTTTTGCTCCATAAATTTTCTAGCTCTTATGTACCACTTTCAATTAGGGGTACACAAAAATAACGGTTCGATATTGTTTCGAACTAGAACGATAATGTACCGAACCGAAAAGTGAGTTTTCAAATGGTTCTAACAAATTATATCCCGAATCAAACCGAACCATTTTCATAATAGTACAGGATGGGTTTCCAAAAAATAAATAGTGAAAATACCTAGTTACACATTTTTTTGTTATTTGAATTTCTTACTCACATGGATCCAATTCCACAAGATACCCATATCTTTGATTTGATCTCATTAGGTCCGATATAATGCATTTAAAGATTAGATTCGACAGATAGGGCACAACGTAGAGAAGTAAATAGATCTTTTTGAAGATTTGATCTAGTCTTATTGGACATGAATTTTATTTGATCCAATTAGATCTATTTTTGTCCGATTTGATCTAATTAGGTCCGATCTGATGCATTTAAAGATTATATCAGGCAATTAGGACACAACCTATACAAGAAAACAGGTTTCTTGTGAAAGTTTGATGTGATCTTATTTACAACGTAGAGAAGTAAATAGATCTTTTTGAAGATTTGATCTGATCTTATTGGTTTTGATTTTGATTTGATCCGATTAGATCTGTTTTTGTCCGATTTGATCTAATTAGGTACGATCCAATGCATTTAAAGATTAGATCAAGAAAATAGGACACAACGTATACAAGTAAATAGATCTTTTTGAAGATATGATATGATCTTATTGGATTTGAATTCGATTCGATCCGATTAGATCTGTTTTGGTCTAATTCTATCTAATTAGGTTCGATTTAATGCGTTTAAAGATTAGATCAGGCAAATACGGCACAACCTATACAACTGAAATTTTGATGTGATCACATTGGATTTGAATTTGATTTGATTTAATTACATCTGTTTTGGTCTGATTCGATCTAATTTGATTCGATCTGATGCATTTAAAGATTATATGAGGCAAATAGGACACAACCTACATGAAGGTTACTGGTTTCGAATTTGGGTTCCACTAGTTAGACAAACAATTGAGAGAAGAGTGATAACTTTGGTTTTAAGTTCAAAGCTTCAAACTCAGCGACGAGTTTGGAAAGGAGTGTGAGGGGAGGGAGGAAGCTTAATGGAGGAGAGAAAGGAGTGTGAATTTACAATTTTATTCACGTTCTTAACCAAAATGTTAACAAAAGACCATTCGTGGAAATGAATATAATAATCGGGGATTAAATTAGTAATATTTGATATGTAGAGACTAAATATGTAAAATGACCTATAACTGGAGCTCTTTTATGGAATTACTCATAAAATTATTTTAAAAGATGAAATATTTTTGACATCGTATGAGAGTTAATCAACGCCTACGATGTAACGCCCTAGAAATCGGCCTAGAAGTTAATCAATAATTAAATAAATAAGAATTATCTATTTACGATAATCTATTCGTTTAAAGGATTAAAAGATACTTTAGAGATTCTAATCGTCTCAATAAAACGAGACTAATCAGACCGTATTTGTAAATATTTAAATTAAAAGACTGATCAGTGTTAATTAATCGAAAGAATCAAGACGGACTAGGTGGAACTTATAAACTCTTGTTGATTTATTATAAAAGTTATATCGTTGGGTAAGGATCGACTAATCGAATCTAACGACGCAAACAGATCTTAATTCGGAGCATGTTAGCCTGAAAAGTGTGTTTTACTCGGTTACATTATTTTAAATTAAAGAGTACAAAACCCAGTATATACAAAAAGGGAAATTAGCGTGTTGCTTCTCCTAGATCTAAGACTGCCCGCCGCCGCCTTGGACGGAAAGAGACATTGACGCTGCTCTGCGACCGATGCTGGACGAGCACGAAACTAGGGAGACTCATCTTCGACGAGCTTCAACTTTGGAATCGGCAACCAGTACTCAGATTTCAGACGGCGATGGCTTCCGATTGTAAATTACTCCGTACTTCATAGATTGAGTAAAGAACTCAGTTTGGCAGCCCTTTTCGTTTATAATTGAATCCGAGCATTTTTCCCTCATATTTTGCTCAACTCTATTCTTCCTTACACATATATAGTATGTATTTTATTCATTCGTATGCATCATGAGTGGCTAAATATCTAGATTTAGGTTTCACAAGACCTCTGATAATTTATATACTGAGTTTGCTATATATCTAGATTTAGGTTTTCGAGTGGCTAAATATTGTTGGTTTCCATATACGTTGCTACAGGTCCAGGTCCTAAATGTAATTCATATAAAGTGTATGTTGATTGAGATTTCCAATATTTGAAGCCAAGTCTGGTCAGTTTGGCTGAGCAAAGATGCACTCCAGATTTTAGAGTACATTTGGTCAACTGGGACACACAATTTCTGTTGAATATTTAAGATTGCTGCTTAGTTACTTTGGGTGTTGTAGTTTCCTGTCTTTTAGATGTTAAGACTTAGATGTTGATTATATTATTCTAAAAAGATGTTTTAGTCAATTGACTAAAGTGTCTGATTATAAAATAATATCATCAATTAAGTTTGAATTTTATGTCTAGGTTTTACTTAATTAAATTGAATTCGTATCTCCCAATTTAAATCTACCAAGGGCTGAATCTTTCCTTTATTATAAGAAACTGATGATGTATTCTTTGATCTTTGTTACAGGTAAAGAACCGATAATCTATCCTTAATAGTCATATGTCTTTTAATTCATTAGTGTGGTTTCTCTTCTCCTTTTGGAAGATAGCTTTGATATTAGTTTGGATGAGGACATTGTGACTAAAACTTCTCTTATAATCTTTACTTTT